GGTTCCTGACTTCCCTGAAAAGTTGTATATCGCGGGGGCTGTTCGATGCTAATGCAGTACGCCACAGGATGTTTTTGTGCTGGTCAAGGGCAGTCAAGTCTGGGGTGAACCAAGGGCTATATCTGTTCTTAGTTCGGAATTTTTTGAATGGGGTATGTTTTTTTAAGATGGAGAGGAAAGCACTTTTAAAGAACAACCAGGCATCCTCTAATGACGGAATGAAGTCAATATCCATCCAGGATACCCGGGCCAGGTCAATTAGAAAGGCCTGCTCGCTGAAGTGTTTTAGGGAGCGTTTGACAGTGATGATGGGTGGTCGTTTGACCGCGGACTCATTACGGACGCAGGCAATGAGGCAGTGATCGCTGAGATCCTGGTCGAAGACAGCGGAGGTGTATTTAGAGGGTAAATCAGTCAGGATGATATCTATGAGGGTGCCCATGTTTACGGATTTAGGGTTGTACCTGGTAGGTTCCTTGATCATTTGTGTGAGATTGAGGGCATCTAGTTTGGATTGTAGGACGGCCAGGGTGTTAAGCATATCCCAGTTTAGGTCACCAAGTAGTACGAACTCTGAGGATAGATGGGGGGCAATCAATTCACATATGGTGTCCAGGGCACAGCTGGGGGCTGAGGGGGGTCTGTAGAAAGCGGCAACAGTGATAGGTGGATTTTTGGAAGTAGAAGCTCAAACTGTTTGGGCACAGACCTGGATAGTATGATTGAGCTCTGCAGTAGATTGCAACGCCGCCCCCTTTGGCAGTTCTATATAGACGGAAAATGTTGTAGTTGGGGATGGAAATGTCAGAGTTTTTGGTGGTCTTCCTAAGCCAGGATTCAGACACTGCTAGAACATCAGGGTTGGCGGAGTGTGCTAACGCAGTGAGTAACTCAAACTTAGGGATGAGGCTTCGGATGTTAACATGCAAAAAACCAAGGCTTTTACGGTTACCGAAGTCAACAAATTATGGCGCCTGGGGAGTAGGAGTGATACTGGGGGCTACAGGGCCTGGGTTAACCTCTACATCACCAGAGGAACAGAGGATGAGTAGAATATGGATACGGCTAAAGGCTTTAAGAACTGGTCTTCTAGTGCGTTGGGTACAGAGAATAAAAGGGGCAGATTTCCGGCCGTTGTAGAATAGATTCAGGGCATTATGTACAGACAAGGATATGGAAGGATATGAGTACAGTGGAGGTAAACCTAAGCGTTGGGTAACAATGAACGAGATAGCATCACTGGAGGCACCGATTGAGCCGGTCTCCACGTGTATGGGGGGTGGGACAAAGGAGCTCTCTGAGGCTGGTTGAGCGGGACTGGGGGCTCTACAGTGAAATTGTATAATAAGAACTAACCGGAACAGCAATAGGCAAGGCATATAGACATGGGAGAGAGGCATAAAGCAATCACAGGTGTTATTCGAGAGAGCTAAGACAACAACTGGTAATGGCGACGAAAGTTTGGCCTGAGGCTAAACAGATAAACAGGACAGATAAACAGGATGGGGGTACCGTGTAAAGGAACAGTCCAGCAGGCATCAGCTGTGCAGCTGAGTGATCATAAGGTCCAGTGAACAGCAATAGGTGAGACCGGGAGCAGTCCGAATGGCTGCTACAGCACAGGCGAGCAGGAAGCATGGCTGTTGATTGCGTGTGCTAGCGGGCCGGGGCTAGCAGATGGATCTTCGTGGTCGTCACAACGGGAAGCCTGTTGAAACCACATCAGACGATTACGTCGGAAGACCAGTCATGATGGATCGGCGGGGCTCCGTGTCGACACTAGGAGGTCCCGTCCGGTTAACAGAGAGGTAGATAGCCGGGAGATGGGCCTGGCTCGAGGCTAACTCAAGGCTAACTGAGGCTAGCTTCGGACAGTGGTGATTAGCCAACAACATCCATTCGGTTGCAGCTAGCTAGTTGCGATGATCCGGTGTTAAGGTCCAGTGATTCAGTGATACCGGCAGAAAATCCGATATGTTCTTGGTCGATAGCGCGCTGTGCAGACTGGCCGATAATAGTCCAGGCTAGAGCTGGCTGGTAGGAATTTAATGTAAATAATCATTTGAAATTGTTCTAAGGTGTCAATTAATTGAATAAATACAGCACAAAACATAAACCTTACACAAAAAACAACTAGGTGAAATTCAGATATCATCATGATCCCTTATGGATACAGTCAGTAATACAACTGGCTGGACTGGTTTGTCCAACTGTCATTTATCACGCTGACAGACCATCCAGTATTTCCCAAGTCTACATTAATCACTGGTCTGCCTATGAGGTCTGAAAGGGTACATTCTGCGGCAAAGGCCTCACTCACTCTCCACTGAATACAGACATGCACGTGCGCTTGTAGGCATGCACACACGTGCGCACACACACACACAAAGAGATAAACACACACACGAGTGAGGCATACCACACACTCACACAAACCAGACAGAGGCATACGCACACACACACACAGACAGAGACGGGAAAGGCCTCACTCTCCATTGAATTCCTCTGAGAGAGTAGGACTGATGTCATTAGTCATGGGCCAAGTGGGACTTCAAACTCAGGGGTACCTCACTGCCAAGCCTTACGGCATGCCCTGCCCTCTGCTGCCGACCAGCCATATAGATTCCTTCAGTCTGTGTGTGTGTCTAATATACACTGAGTGTACAAAACATTAGGAACACCTTCCTGCTATTGAGTTGCACCCACTTTTGCCCTCAGAATAGCCTCAATTCGTCGGGGCATGGACTCTACAAGGTGTCGAAAGCGTTCCACAGGGATGCTGGCCCATGTTGACTCCAATGCTTCCCACAGTTGTGTCAAGTTGGCTGGATGTCCTTTGAGTGGTGGACCATTCTTGATACACACGGGAAACTGTGGAACATGAAAAGCCCAGCAGCGTTGCAGTTCTTAACACACTCAAACCGGTGCGCCTGGCACCTACTACCATACCCCATTCAAAGGCACTTAATTATTTTGTCTTGTCCATTCCCCCTCTGAATGACACAATCCATGTCTCAATTGTCTCAAGGCTTAAAAATCCTTCTATAACCTGTCTCCTCCCCTTTATCTACAGTGATTGAAGTGGATTTAACAAGTGACATCAATAAGGGATCATAGCTGTCACCTGGATTCACCTGGTCAGTCTATGTCATGGAAAGAGCAGGTGTTCCTAATGTTTTGTCCACTCAGTGTATACCTTACGATCTCCATCCTTTAAATCTTTGCAAATATAATTAATTACTCTCTTCTCAGGATTCACATTTCTGTTACTGTCTCCCTTGTGTGGTTATTCCAGTCATAATTCCTGAAATACACAGCGTAATTAATTGTGATACACAATGTGATAACTAGTTAACATTTTCAACTAGCCATTAATCTGATAAGCATATTTTCCCATAGAAAGTCAGACATAATCTGCAGATAAATCATACAGACTCAGTCATACAAACCATATCAAAACATATCAAAACATTTTGTATCATATTTGATATAGTAGACAATCACACAGCAAGTAATCAGTTAGTTTCTCAGAGCATCATATCAACACCTCTTCATTAAACCAGAAAGATACCATCGATCTATGATCATAGAGGATACTCAATATAGGACAAGACCATTATATGATACAGCACTATAATACAGTATTGGTCTCTTCCAGATATGTGTGTAGTTCAAAGAAACAACCATAAGGGGGCGGTCTAACTTTGAGAGAGGAAAAGCACCGCCCAGCTTGCCCTCCCCACATCCTAACCTCAACCATTGCAGCAAAACACAAAACTGACCCCAGACCAGCATTTAGGGTTAACTTGGCCTTAGTCCTACAGCACCCCTACCAGGTATTCTTCCATCCATCTCCAGAATATCAATTTGACACATTATAATCCAGGCCAGAGGACATCGATCTCTCACTGCACTGTTGAGGTTAAACCGTGAAAAGAGCAAAATTAGCCTGAACACTGACAGCAGCTACTCTTCAAAGACCAACTCTTAAACCACACATCAAACAAGTCTGAGATCGAGAGAGAATACAGAAAAAACCCACATCAATAAACCAGAAAACCTGTGTCTTTGTGTATAGAGTGAAGAGACTGCTAGCTAACATACAGATAACAGTATATCTACAGCTTAAATACTAAATCTACTATAGCTACTAACTTCTACTTCAATAGCATTTATCAGTTTCTCTCTTTCCAGCCCTACATTTCTTTTTTTGTCTCCTCATAGGATTTAACTTCAAGAGAGAGAGAGCTGCGTCTGATCCCCGCCGATGTGAATCTGACATTTTAGCTGCACTTTAAGTCTAGGTCGATTTGAGCACTGTCTTTTCCTACAGACATCAGTACTCGTAGGGTAAAATGTGTAGAATCAGTATGACATTATACATCGCAAGAGATAAAGGTACGGCAGTTTGCATATCAGTATTTCTGAGTGACTATCTCTATGCAACATAATGACACTGTCCTGTTCGTTTCCCGGGGGACAGGTCCTCCCATTCCTCTCATTATGCATACTGAGCCTGAACAAATTGAGCTTTTGTCTACATCCCAAATGGAACCCTTTTCCCTTCTGTAGTTCACTTCTTTTTTTGCCAAGGCACATAGGGCTTTGGTCAAAAGAAGTGCACTATATAGGGAATATGGTGCCATTCTGGATGCACCCCAGGTTATTGAATGCCAGCTGCTAATGTCAATCATCCAATAGTTTACACTGTACAACTCAACCCTTGGGACAAGTTTATTGTGTTTTGGGGATGTTACAGTGGTGGCTCATCTTTTGCTGAGCTACAAAAAGGTTTAAATGAAATCTCGTTTTCATTACAAATTGACAAAGGTAAAACAGTCACAACAGTATAATGTAACTACATAAGTGGAAATGGGTGTCTGGCTTTCATATAAATGACATCATCATCTCTAATAATCTACATCAGCTAGTTGTTTTTTCTTCTTTAACTTCATACAGATAATGGAGAAGGCTAAAATGCACCATAATATTTGGTTGAGGAATAGTTTCCTTTATTACATCACAAAATACATTTTATTTTTTTATATCCCAAAGAAGCAAGACTTGCAAGTAGAGGCATTTAAACATAGCTAAAATCTACAGCTACAAAATTCTACTCCAATATACATTTACCTGTTATTTGGCATTGTCTTCCGAAAGATGGCGTCATTCTAACGCTCTGTGTTGCCATGAACTATCAGTGCAGACGAAGACGTAGCTGCGCTATCTGACGTGAGACAATGCCTGTTGGGGGTCTGCCTATCTCTCTGTCTCTCTTTAGACCCAGTCCTCACAGCAGGGTAAAATGTGGAGGAGTAGAATCAGTAATCAGACAGATACACAGAAGTCCATATTGTAAAGGCTATAAAGATTTGTTGCACAATGTGACGTCGCCTCTGGGACCTTCACACTGCAGGCAGAGGGGCTGGGGGGATGGGGGGGTCAGACAGGACAGGGTCAGGGGTCGTGACCTCTATGTGGCGTATCTCTTGGTCCACTGTCGGGCTATCCTGTCATGCTCGGCTCTGTTGGTCAGGTACTGAGTGGCAATGCTACCAACCAGAGGGTCCGCTGAAGAGAGGAGAGGAGAGGGAGAAGACAGAGAAAAGAGAAAAGAGACGAGCAACGCATTAGTAAGAGGGCTACCTCAGTCTAACATTTTATTTTATTGAACTTTTATTTATACAGGGTGGGTCACCATTGAGACCATGATCTCATTTGCAAGGGAGCCCTGTGAATATGAACATACAATAAATAATATCAATACAAAAAATACAACAAGATTAATCAAAACAAACACAACTCTCACATATCACCACCCTTAAACACGATCTAAACTCTTCAATGGAGACCCACGAGTCTAATTTCAATGTGGCCTGAAGGCTATTCCATGAGTTGGGGGCATTAAAACTAAAAACATTTTCCCCCAGGTCAGTGGAGACCTGTGGGACCTCCAGAACCAGCCAGTCCAGAGAGTGGGTCTGAAAATTGCTGGATCTCCAGTTAATACGTGAGCTGAGGTAGTGGGGGAGTCTCTGAAGAACCGCTTTATATACAAAAAGTAGCCAATGCTGGACCCTTCTGGTAGTCAGAAACTCCCAGCCAACAGAACTATACAAAATGCAGTGATGTGTATGAAAATTGTCCCCAGTGATAAAAAGCAGTGCTAAGTGATAGACTGAATCTAAAGGTTTTAAAGCAGAGGCTGCCACATGCAAGTAGATTATATCATCATAATCAAGTACTGGGAGAAGCGTTGCTTGAACAATCTTACTTCTACTTTCCAAAGTGAGGCAGGATTTATTTCTACAAAAGAAACCCAGCTTAATTCTCAACTTTTTTGTCAATGTGTGTTTTAAAAGAGAGCTTATCATCAATCCAAATACCCAAGTACTTATAATGGGGAACTTGCTCAATTTGGGCTCCCTTCAATGTGCAAATATGCAGGCCCTCAGGGTTAATATTACGAGGCCTAGAAAAAAACATAGACTTCGTTTTATTAGCATTTAGCACTAGTTTAAGATCAGTAAGCGATTTTTGAACTGATTCAAAACCATGCTGAAGGTCATGAATGGCCTACTGTACTGAGGGGGTACAGGAGTAAATAACTGTATGATCCGCGTAGAGATATCAATGTTACAGGCTTTAACAGATAGACCAATATTATTTATATAAATAGTGAAGAGAACATGGCCCAAAATCGACCCCTGCGGCACACCTTTCGTAATAATGAGGAAACTAGATTTGATACCGTCAGTAAGCACACATTGGGTCCTGTCCGTTTGATAGTTCTTGAGCCATTTGCAAGATGCCTGATCTAGGCCTATTTCAGACAACCTTTGAACAAGTAAGAAATGGTCAACTGTATCAAATGCCTTCGACAGGTCAATAAATAAGGCAGCACAATGATTTTTATGGTCTAAACAATATAGCACATCATCTAAGACAAGTGTAGTTGCTGAAACATTGCTATGTCCAGGTCTAAAACCAGATTGGTGTTCATTAAGAATAGAACGAGAAGTTAAAAAAGTTCTGAGCTGAACGTTGGCCAGGGACTCTAAAACTTTGGCAAGGCAAGATAGCTTGGAAATTGGACGGTAGTTATCCAAGTCAAAAGGATCTCCGTCTTTGTGTAGGGGGAGGACTTGTGCCATTTTCCAGATCTTATGGATCTTAGGGATAACATAACTGTAGAGAGGACAGAGATGAGACACTCATGAATAAGAGGTTTTAGTCATTGGTGTACAGTCATTGGTAAGAGGGAGACCTTAGAGGACCCGTGTCATTTCCCAGGGTTACAGTCTAACATGTGTACAGTATATCTACTGTTTGTCTGATTGGTTGACCGCTGTGTCACTCACCAGGGTTACAGTCTGTGAGCAGGGAGCAGATGGACAGCAGCACCTTGGAGATGGTGAGGGCGGGGCTCCAGTTGTCTTTCAGGATATCCAGGCAGATCACCCCCTGGCTGTTGATGTTACAGTGGTAGATCCTGGTGCGGAACGTCACCTAGGAAAAAACACAAAGTAGATCTAACATCGCCTAGGAAACAACACAAAGTAGATCCAGATCACAGACAGACAGATCACCCCCTGACTGTTGATGTTATAGTCGTAGATCCTGGTGTGGGACGTAACCTAAGAGACCACAGGAAGTAGATCCTGGCTAGGAAACAGCCCAGACAGACAGATCACTACGCCCTGATTGTTTTTTTACTGTGGTAAATCCTCGAATGGAAAGTGACCTGTGGAAGAGGAGGAAATCATGAAACACATTCAGGCCTTATCAGCCAACCAGGCAGATAAAATAAACTACAGTGTTAACAATGGGGTCAATGATAAAGCATGCAAGGGTTACTGTAATTCACCAGCAAAACCTTTAACTGTGTACAGTCGACAAGAAGCATTGCGTCAAAGGAGCTAGAACATTCCCAATCCACACCTCCCAGTCTGCAGATACTATAGTCACCTAAACTTCACAAAGCTAAACCACACATCCTTCACCTTTCACCATGTCCCAACATTTGCCCTTATAAAACAGAAAAACATAATTAGGTCACCATAGATGAGAGACAGGGAGACCCCAGGCCAGGAGCAAATGGTGTGTGAACATCTATTGACCTTTCCATGCAATCTCAAGTAGGGCCATGGTCGGTGACATACGCTTAAGCTTGGTCTCTTAACATCCCATTGAGGCCTTTTCCCTCTGAGCAGACCTTGTCTGCGTCCCAAATAAAATAGAACCCTATTCCCTATATAGTGCACTACTTGTCAATAGTAGTGCATTATATAGGGAGTAGGGTGCCATTTGGGACCAAGTCCTTAATGTAGGGAAAACCAATTAGACCAGGCACGGAGGAGGATCTTAATGATAGCACTGGCTGTTTATGCCTTTGACATTAGAGGGAGAGAAAGAGAAGAAAGAAAGAAAGAAAGAGAGAGAGAGAGAGAGAGAGAGAGAGAGAGAGAGAGAGAGAGAGAGAGAGAGAGAGAGAGAGAGAGAGAGAGAGATAAAGATATAGACATATAGAGATATAGAAAGGAGGGAGTCAGACACAGCCATACCACCCTGGGTAATCAGTAGCATGGATGGGGACAACTGCATGCCTGTGAACAAGTCTTCTCTGTCTCTCTCCAGTCAAACTGTTTGTGCCATCTATATGACATGTTATTTGAAACCAGACGAGCCAGACTCCGTCTTTTATTACCATAACCACTGTAAAGGCTAATCCCATCCCTGGGGATTTGTGCTTAATAATGTAACTGCTGGACCAAGCAAACATATCATGACACAGTCCAGTGTAGAGTGGTAAAACATTTAGTTCCGTGGCTAATTTCTCCTAAATGTTTTTGTCTGTTTGTTTTTATGTGAAATGGGGTGGAAATAACCATAGTAGCTAGCTCCCCTCCACTCCCAGAAAGCAATTATGATCCAGATTATATCCAGCTCCTGTATAGTTTTATCAGAAACATAATAGGCAGTGTAGCCTTCTGTTAGAAGTCTGTATTAACCCTTTGCCGTGTACGTGATCCCTGCAGCGTTCCATCGCAAATATGTGATTGGAACAGTAGCAACAGATGCAAACTTCATCATCCAAACATCACACGGAACACATCCACAGCCAAACTCATTCCATAAACCAGTCTAAATAACAGTTTGCACTGACAAAAAAACAAAACCTAAGTTAGCGACCTAACAGCTAGACTTGTTTAGAATGTACCACATCTCTGGTGTGTACACAGGAGAAATGTGATATTGTTTAGAAAAGTGATGCGTGGCAGCTAAGCTAACAGATGCTAAATTCTTAATGATGGCAGCCATGTTTGTTTATGTTTGACAAGCGAAAATGCCGTAATCCCAGAATGCCATTCACTATAAGACACAAATAAACAAAGTCAAAGACGGCTGCGCCAATTGCCTGAAAAATATGAACTTAGTTTGGCCACTTTTCAGCATATTACAAATCTAGCCTACTGCCTAGCCTAACTGTAGCGTGAAAGCTAAACAGCGATGAAACCATTTTAGGGGGGTTTGTGGGAGGGGGTTAATTTAATTTGTGGGGGGTTTTCAAGTCCATGGGGGGTAGAAATGGGGGAAGGTATCGTGGGGGGATATGATGCAGGAAATATTACTATGATGGGGGATTTATCATTAAATGGAGGGCAAACACAGGAGAAGTTTATACGCTAAATAAGAATAAAACCCCTGGAAAGGGGGGTTTGAGCTGGCAACCCTGAGGTACCATAGTTACAATCTGATGCCGCGTTCAAAACAACTGGGAACTTGGAACTCGTAAATCTCAGACTTCCGACTTCAGTGCGTTCAACACAACTGGGACCTCTGAAAAAAAACGAGCTCAGACTGGGAATAATCATCCAACTCGGAATTCCAACTCGGGAACTTGGGCCTCTTTCTAGAGCTCCGACATTCTGACCTGAAGATCACTGTCATGATTTAATCTCGTATTTTTCTGAGTTCCCAGTTGTCTTGAAACCACCATAAGTCAGTCGAGTGAACTATCCCTTCACCTCGTTTTGTTATAACATCTTTGGTCTGACAGACACTTACGTGACAACCAAAATGCATTGTATGATGTCAACAAACACAGCTGGCAAATAGCTTAGCATTAGCTCATCATAATCAGTACAACCTTCAAAAAAGTATTTTACACACATCATATGTGTCCATTACAATATATGCAAGAATCGGAATGCATGTTTTGTCACCAGTACTTGAAAACATGTGAATAAAACAGTAAATACATTATGCTCCATACATACAGTGCTATGAAAAAGTATTTGCCCCCTTTCTAATTTTCTCTACTTTTGCATTTTTGTTATACTGAATGTTATCAGATCTTCAACCAAAACCTAATATTAGATAAAGGGAACATAACTGAAAAAATAACACAACAATTACATATGTATTTCATTTATTTCATAAACAAAGTTATGCAACACCCAATTCCCCTGTGTGAAAAAGTAATTGCCCCCTTACACTCAATAACTGGTTGTTCCACCTTTAGCTGCAATGACTCCAACCAAATGCTTCCTGTAGTTGTTGATCAGTCTCTCACGTCGCTGTGGAGGAATTTTGGCCCACTCTTCCATGCAGAACTGCTTTAACTCAGTGACGTGTGGGTTTTCAAGCATGAACTGCTCGTTTCAAGTCCTGCCACAACATCTCAATTGGGATTAGGTCTGGACTTTGACTAGGCCATTCCAAAACTTCCAATTTGTTGCTTTTTAGAAATGTTAATGTAGACTTGATTGTGTGTTTTGGATCATTGTCTTGCTGCATGACCCAGCTGCGCTTCAGCTTCAGCTCACAGACGGATGGTCTGACATTCTCCTGTAGAATTATCTGATACAGAGCAGAATTCATGGTTCCTTCTATTAAGGCAAGTCGTCCAGGTCCTGAGGCAGCAAAGCATCCCCAAACCATCACACCACCACCACCATGCTTGACCTTTGGTATGATGTTCTTACTGTGGAATTTGGTATTCGCCAGGCATTACTGGAACCATGTCGTCCAAAAAGTTATACTTTTGAATCATCTGTCCATAGAACGTTCTTCCAAGAGTCTTGATGATCATCCAGGTGCTTTTTGGCAAACTTTAGTCAACTTTTTGGATGAGATGGGTCCCATTATGCCTGGGTCATGCAGCAAGACAATGATCCAAAACACACAATCAAGTCTACATGAACATTTCTAAAAAGCAACAAATTGGAAGTTTTGGAATGGCCTAGTCAAAGTCCAGACCTAATCCCAATTGAGATGTTGTGGCAGGACTTGAAACGAGCAGTTCATGCTTGAAAACCCACACGTCACTGAGTTAAAGCAGTTCTGCATGGAAGAGTGGGCCAAAATTCCTCCACAGCGACATGAGAGACTGATCAACAACTACAGGAAGCATTTGGTTGGAGTCATTGCAGCTAAAGGTGGAACAACCAGTTATTGAGTGTAAGGGGGCAATTACTTTTTCACACAGGGGAATTGGGTGTTGCATAACGTTGTTTATGAAATAAATATGTAATTGTTGTGTTATTTTTTCAGTTATGTTCCCTTTATCTAATATTAGGTTTTGGTTGAAGATCTGATAACATTCAGTATCACAAATATGCAAAAGTAGAGAAAATTATAAAGGGGGCGAGTACTTTTTCATAGCACTGTACATACGGTGTGCTACAGTAGAAACGACAACACGACATACAGAAAATAAGACACTTACTTTGATAGGAACGCACACATGTCCAAAGTTATTATTTGTAAGGAAAACAACAATGAAGGCAATGCGAGCGCCAGCCGGAAAATGTGCCAGGGGGAAAAGTTTGTGCAAGGCCTGTTCTGACTAGAGATGCGCAATGTCTTCATACTTAATTTGGGGAAGTGCTTGGTCTCTCGTCAAAGAGAGAAGTTTGCCTCAGTAAAGCCTCAAACATAAATTGTCCGCAACAGTGAAATGGGCTACATTTTATGTGAATTAATAAGGAGGTGGAACACACCTCAATTCAAACTGTTATTAGAAAATAAAACTTGTTAGAAAATAATTTGAAATTGACAAGTTGAAACATAGCCTATAGACAATTAGCAGGCAGCGTGTCTTGGTTTGAGGGCAGCGCGGGTTAACTGTCCTGTTGCATAACAATCAAATTTTGGAACATTGAGTGCACTCTGATATCACACGCATAAAAAAACTCACACTGGGACGACCGTTAGAGATATTTGGAACTCACACGTGAAAAGGTTAATGAGAATATATGCTGCAAACTCAGTAAATGGCTCTAAAAAAAGAGTCCCTGCAGTGTCTATAACACACAGAGCCTACATCCCAAACGGCACCCTATTACCTATATAATGCACTACGTTTGACCAGGGCCCTGGTCAAACGTAGTGCACTATGTAGGGAATAGGGTGCCATTTGGGGGACCCATACATACTTTGCTGGGCTTCTCTCTTAGTGCCGAGTATCACACAGCCACAAAGTCACGTCTGACTGAGACTGAAACCACAACTGCTGCCTGTCTCTCTCTCTCAATAATAACAGCATTGTGTTAAACGGTTCAGGGTTATTCTGGTCCCCTGGTCTCCACAGTCATATGACAGTAGAGCAGAGCGCTGTAGTGTAACTGCTACTGTGTAGTGCATAGTAGCCTCAAGGAGACGACGGCCGGGTGGCGCCACAGTTAGTCAACAAACACAAGACAAGACATCATGTTTATCAGCCTCAGGGTTTCAACTGATGACCTCAGCAAACTGCTCTCAGACCTGACCTCCATGTAGAACGATAGAGGACTAGCTGCAGACAGAGGCTACGTACCAAATTACACCCTATTCCCTACTTAGTGCATTACTTTTGAAAAGAGCTGTGTGGGCCATGTTACTGAGCTGTTAACTGTTAATACTCCGACCTCTAAAACTATAAAGCAAGTGATTAAAGATACAGTACCTTCGGTGGCTTGAAGGGGTAGTCGGATGAGAAGGTGATATCTAAGAAGAAGACCCCTCCCTCGTACACCGAGCCTGGTGGTCCTAGGATGGTGGATCTCCATTCATAGATGTTGTCTCCCTTCGGTCCCGCACTGCAAACACACAAAGACAGCAGCACAGAGTGAGTGAAACACCTTCATATTTTTGGCTTTATTGTTAAGCCTGACGAAGACTTTCAAGTATAAATGTTGCACTCAATAAAACTTTGGAAGCATTCAATAGTGTGTAGGTACCTTTTTTCTTTCATAACTTTACTTTATTTACATTTTAGTCATTTAGCAGACGCTCTTATCCAGAGCGACTTACAGTTAGTGAGTGCATACATATTTTTTTCATACTGGTCCCCCGTGGGAAATGAACCAACAACCCTGGCGTTACAAACGCCATGCTCTACCCTGCTGCTACCTATTACACCTCAGTTCCTCAGTTAGAGACCCACATCACTCCTCAAGGCCCTTTTAAATTGATATAAAGGGGAGAGTAAGACAGTCAAGGCTCTGCTGTAGAAGCAGGAGAGATAGCTATGTGTTAATGTAGCACCCAGGCACTCAGGTGAATGACGGGGTGGAGGCTAGGGCTGTTACGGTGTCCGTATTACCACCACACCGGCGGTCACGAGTCATGAAGGCAGCCAATTTCCACTTGACTGTTTAGTCACGGTAATTAGGCTTCTGGTGGTAATTAGTAGCCTGACAAACTTGCTAACTACCTGATACTCAGAACACTACTGTCCCTCTAATCACTCTGACATCAATGCAAATGTAATTGAAAATCTAATCAAACACTTAATGAGAGCCAATGAGCTCATGTTGCGCAACATTTCTATAGGCTATGCAATTCTGTGAGAAAACAGAGATAGCCTGTATTAAAAAGAGCAGGATCCCATCAGCTTTCTATAGGCTAGGCCTACTACAGTGCCTTGCAAAAGTATTCATCCCCCTTGGCGTTTTTCCTATTTTGTTGCATTACAACCTGTATTTTAATTGATTTTTATTTGGATTTCATGTAATGGACATACACAAAATAGTCCAAATTGGTGAAGTGAAATGAAAAAAATTACTTGTTTCAGAAAATTCTAAAAAATAAATAATGGAAAAGTGGTGCGTGTATATATATTCACCCCCTTTGCTATTAAGGCCCTAAATAAGATCTGGTGCAACCAATTACCTTCAGAAGTCACATAATTAGTTAAATAAAGTCCACCTGTGTGCAATCTAAGTGTCACATGATCTGTCACATGTTCTCAGTATATATACACCTGTTCTGAAAAGCCCCAGAGTCTGCAACACCACTAAGCAAGCGGCACCACCAAGCAAGCAGCACCATGAAGACCAAGGAGCTCTCCAAACAGGTCCTGGACAAAGTTGTGGAGAAGTACAGATCAAGGTTGGGTTATAAAAAAATATCTGAAACTTTGAACATCCCACGGAGCACCATTAAATCCATTATTAAATTTTCTTAAGAATATGGCACCACAACAAACCTGCCAAGAGAGGGCTTGGAATGGCCTAGTCAAAGCCCAGACGTCAATCCAATTGAGAATCTGGGTATGACTTAAAGATTGCTGTACACCAGTGGAACCCATCCAATTTGAAGGAGCTGGAGCAGTTTTGCCTTGAAGAATGGGCAAAAATCCCAGTGGCTAGATGTGCCAAGCTTATAGAGACATACCCCAAGAGACTTGCAGCTGTAATTGCTGCAAAAGGTGGCTCTACAAATCAATTTTAATTCCAGGTTGTAAGGCAACAAAATAGGAAAAATGCCAAGGGGGGTGAATACTTTTGCAAGCCACTGTATATTTATTTCTCAACTTTCCTAATATTAAGAACATTGCTTCTCTTTACAACAGGAGTGTAGCCTACCTGGCTGGCATGAAAATGAACCACGGGAAAAGCGTCCTCCATTCGCTATTGAAGTGCATAGATGACATGTCTTTTTTTCCCCTGCCCCTGTTTCGTGACAGGAGCATGATAATGGTCCATTCTAAATCAAAACAATTTCACTCATACAGATTTTGTATATGTAAAGACAAGATTAAATCAAGAATAGTCTGATGGGTGACAATATTAGCCTATCACTTAATGATATATTATTAAAAGCATTACATGCATAATTGCATTTGCAGTCACTTTTGAGAATGGTGTTTTCCCGCTAATTGATTGCATTTTGGAACATACGCGCTTATAGCCTACTGCCGTGTGCACATTGCTGCACTTATAATGTGAAGAAATAGCCTAATAGTTTATCAAAATGTTAAGCTAAACGTTCTGATCTGTTGCGTCAGCCTCATTACTTTTAAAAGGTTTTTTGATGCTAGTGGTTGTATTAATTTGGGATCTATCGCATCCCTCAACTGTCCCAGACTATGTTTGGAATATGTGTTTCTCACACAGAATAGAATAGGTCAACTTTTGTTCTATGGGGGATAGTAGATTGAAATAGGCTAGTGCTTTTGCTGTTCATTAGGCCTACTCATCTTGTTGGCTGATGAAAAGTAAATGTGGACAGTTCTTCAATATGTGCCTCGGAATTCGATAAGGACGTATGCAGTTGCGTCCCCAATGTGTCTGTCTTCACTTGTAGCCTGTGAGAAGAACCCCATCACGTGACGGGCATTTGCTAATAAGAATTGAGACATCTGAGAGAGCCATGTGAGTGAGAGGTGCTTCGGGCACACAGCCGGGAGAAGGGAATTATAATTATTATATTCAGCCCAAGGGCACAACGGCCACTGTCCGCAAAAGGCATGGATTATTTTAGGGGGCATTACGGTCACACAAAGGGGATGCCACCAGGAAATTCGAGGCATTATCAAGTGCTTGTCAAATTGTGAATGAGAGACTGATGAAGTGTGTGCATCCTGCGCAAAAAAACAAAGCAGAGCTCATGCCTGTCATGCAACTTTTTTCAAATCATAATTAGAGTCGCATCATGCAGCCTTAGAATGTATTAAAAATCAAAACATATAGCCCAACATTTGTATCACAACTAAAGTTGCATAAATAACTCTAAATTAAGCATATAGGAGGACCTGTTTCTTTGTTAACCGCTCAACACAGAATAGCCACGTGTGCACTCCCTCAAATCGTTTAGAGAAAATATCCTTTCTATTTTATTCAGCTATGTTCAATTGTATTATTCACACTATAAAATAATATAAAATAATGCCACAGAATTCTAAGCAAATCTTGTCTGCTAAATCAACTAGAATGGCATAGCCAGATCAGGGCTTAACATAAGGACAACTCAGAGTATGCTATTCTGTTCTTCTGAAATAGACTACATTTTCTTCATATCATGTTTCATCATACCAGTCTAAAATAAATAATGAATTTATTGTGATGGTGACGGCTATATAACATGGATTTATTTGACTTTTTAAATGTAGATGTTCCAAAGGTCTGCATCAGTGGCTTGTAGGCTATGTGTGGAAGCCAGGAGATGCTAAATGTGTTTATGTTAATTAACGGTCAATTACCGTGAGACTGGCAGTTATTTGCTTGACAATCACCAGCTGACAAAATGTCATGACCGCCACAGCCCTAGTGGAGGCTGCCTTGAGCAGACAGACACTTATCTACACTGTCCTCACTCTTCACCCTCGGCTCTATTACCATGTGATGAAAATAAATCACACACACACGTGCACGCTCTCACGTACACACGCACACACACACTCCACCAGCATGTCTGTCAGTAGCCTTGAAATATATATATATAGAGAGAGATAGAAAGAAAGAGAGAGAGAGAGTTGCCAGGACCACAAATACAAATTCCATCTAGACACCGTTGCCCTAGAGCACACAAAAAACTATACCTACTGTGATGGAAATGTTTATGTTTGTGCTTTTCTAATAACCAATTTCTGTGTTCATGCAAGTGACTTATTGAACGCCTGGGAGAAATCCTCACTGTAGTATCTGCAATTTGGCAGTACACCCAGAGTGTCAAAGTCTCAGCTTGGAGAGAAGAAGCCTCGTGAGGTATTGGTCTGTCACATGAATGATAACAAATGTTAAGGATAAATTAATGATGAATAATGAACAAGCTAAATCATGCAAATATTACTTTCTGTGTAAGTATATAAGAGAACTAACGGGACTGCCCCGGAAGAGCTCCTGACAGACGTTCACTATGGTGCATCAAGTTTGTTGGAACCTCTACAGTTAACTGATAATAAACAATTATTCATTTAAGATTGACTTCGAGTGACCCTGTGTAAGAATTTCCACTACAATTTGGCATCACGAACCCGATTATTGTTTCTGCCTGCGGAGCTATCCAGTGCAGGTCTGCGAGGAAAACCGGTGGCGCATTTTATGAAGCGTGAGGGAAATTCCGTCTGACCAAAAGACGACGAGACCCGCCCAGACCAGACCCTTACTGTGAGCTGCCCAGGAGGAGACACATCATCTGCGAACATTTGAGGGACGGTAACTGAATTTCAGTAAGTCAATTTAAATGAATCTGTATGGAAAAAAATTATAACAAATAAAAGGCGAGTAACGCATAAAAAGATACCCATAGTCTTATAGAGAGAAGGCTATTCACTAGTCTTATGAGAAGACTAGAGCGAGGGTGTAACGGTACCATGGAAAGACCAGCTGACAAATAATAAAGAATTATTCATTTAAGATTGACTTTGCGTGTCCCTGTGTAAGAATTTCCACGACACTACCTCGGCCTAAACATCAGCACCACAGGTAACTTCCACAAAGCTGTGAATGATCTGAGAGACAAGGCAAGAAGGGCCTTCTATACCATCAAAAGGAACATATAATTCTACAATTAGGATCTGGCTAAAAATACTTCAATCAGTTATAGAACCCCATTGCACTTTATGGTTGTGAGGTCAGGGTTCCGCTCCCGAGTGGCGCAGCGGTCTAAGGCACTGCATCTCAGTGCTTGAGGCGTCACTACAGACCCCATGGTTCGATTCCAGGCTGTATCACAACCGGCCGTGAGGGTGGTGAGAGAGAGAGAGACCCTGCACACCCTAGCAGACAAACAAACAAACCAAAACTTCAAAAAAAGCTTTTGACTCAATTTGGCATGAGGGTCTGCTATACAAATGGATGAAAAGCGGTATTGGTGGAAAAACATACAACATTATAAAATCCATGTACACAAATGGTTAAAATTGGCAAAAGACACACATTTATTTCCACAGGGCCGTTGGGTGAGACAGGGATGCAGCTTAAGCCCCACCCTCTTCAATATATATATCAACGAATTGGCGAGGGCACTAGAACAGTCTGCAGCACCCAACCTCACCCTACTAGAATCTGAAGACAAATGTCTACTGTTTGCTGATGATCTGGTGCTTCTGTCCCCAACCAAGGAGGGCCTGTTAATTTGTTATTGTTTATTTCACTTTTGTTTATTATCTATTTCACTTGCTTTGGCAATCTAAACATATGTTTCCCATGCCAATAAAGCCCCTTGAATTGAAATGAGAGAGCGAGAGAGAGAGAGGCTTCTCACCACTCACACTCCACTACCCTCTCAGTAAAGTACTAGACACATCGTCAATAGAAGGACTCTGATCTAAAGGACAGAGGGACAGAATGTCAAAACAGGTGATGATGCTTTAATTATAGCTGTCTGTCCTTCACTGGAGATATGCGGTGGTAGAGACAGATTTATCTATTTACCGCCTCCCTCCATGCATCAATCTGACAAGCCTTCAGCAAGGCCATGTTAAGCCATTCTATGAGCTGAAAGCCTGGTTGTCTGAGAGATGCTCCCTCACCTTGTTAACTGATCTCACTGTTACTATACAGGAAACTTTCATTTAGAAATGACTGTAAATCTAGCCTGGTACCAAATATGTTTCCCCTGTATAGCTATGACCAATAGAGTCGGTGATACAGGACTAACAGATCTGGGACCAGGCTAATGTAAACATGTCCCTTAATGTTTATATCTCAAGGAAATTAGGATGTGTTATGTGTTGAGTTCCAAAACCTACAACCTGTTCAGTTCACATGGAGGAGATAAATGACTAATTTAATTTCCTGGTCAAGATGACAAAATCTCTTTCTTCTACCAGCATCACTGCTGTCTGAGAAATCCAACAGCCTAGACCAGTCTTTACTATTCTCCTCAGTGTTTCCCCTACATGCAAAAAACTTAAATGTAATAATAATCATTTATTTTTATTATGTAGATCTATGCCCCAAGAAGACCTAGTGTGTATGCGAGATGAGAAGGGTTTCTAAAAACCTGTTATGGGGTATTGTGTGTAGATTGATGATACTTTTTATTTATTTAATCAATTTTAGAATAAGGCTGTAACATAAGAAAATGTGGAACAAGTGAAGGGGTCTGAATACTTTCCGAATGCACTGTACATTATCCCAAAATGGTGTCAATTTGTCACATGACCACAGCATATGTAATAGGGTTCCTTTGTGCTTTTGGCATCTCCAACAGAGATGTGACATTTCTGGATGCATTACATGCGTACTGGCAGGAATGTAGTAAATCCTATGAATTATTTTAAATTGCAGTAGTTTATGTCTTAGGTTGTAGGAGCATGTATGAGATAGTTTGGACACACCT